CCTTTTGGCTATGAGATAATTAATTTATCTCACAGAGCAGTTAAATTTGACTTCCCTTACAGGGACTAGCATGTGAATTGCATTAAAAATTCAACATTCAGAATTCAAATCACAACATGATCAATGCTTTTCCATAACAGATATTTCTAAGATATAGAAACTAAGAAAGGTTACAAACAAGAGGAAACCATTTAGCCTACCTGTCACTAAAAATACTAAAAAAGTTCATTTAATTTAGCTTCTTAGTGATTCATGAGCAGCAGTATCTTTTCGTTACCATAGCATCTTTTGATTTTGATTTCCTCGTATTTTCAATTCTACGCAGTATCCATCTTTAGAATCCATATGCTGTCACATGCTGATATCTGACCTTTGATTTTAGTGTGCTTATTTAGCCTTGTGAACTCTGAACTTTAACTTGTCATGATAAAAATAAGTGCAATGTCCACACATCCACCCAATACCAGGGAGGTACGTGTTCTGGTGAGGGTTGTGGCCTATTCTTTCCTGGAAGCCTGAGGCCTAAAGCAGGGCTGACAGCATATGAGTGTTCTCACCACAGAAAGGGCCAGTGAGGAACAGCCAATCAAACCCAGCCAGCATGTCAGGAGGTGGGAGCAAACCGAAATAAAACCCATGCGAACATGGGAAAAATTGTCATCTCTACACAGGAGGCACCATTGCACAGAATCAAACCCAGAACCCAAGAGCTTCCAGACAACAAGGCTAACTGCCATTGTGGTTGACCACCCCAAGCTTCAGATCACATTTGAATTTGCAGGATTACTAACCAGATGAAGGGAACTGAGTGAGACTCTACAGATATCTGCTTGTGAGAGCAGAATGAATATTAATGAGGCCATGACTACTCATCTCAATCCCCAGAGGGGAGCTGAGACCTTTATAGCACCACTATTTTGCTCCACTTATCACAGGAAACAACATATGGTGTCCAGTTCAGATTTTGATAGAATTAACAATCTGGTTTCACAATAGACGTGATTATGCATTAATAAGTGATTAGGCATGAATAAGGTGGAGGAAGGATAGTATTTCCTATTTTGCAGGAATAAACAAGTGAACATTGACCTCCTCTAATTAATCAATCTGTGCTCATTTTAATTATTTATTAAATGGATATAATGCAGTTTGCATCCATCATATGCAGAACATTGAAAGAAACATATCACTCTATTTGTGCATGGGTGTGTTTTTTAAATCAAGTATATGGTTTATGGATATTGATTGACTTTTTTTGGTGTTACTGGCGTTATCACTTCATTAGAGTTACACTTGATGGGATGTTTTAACTGGCTGAATGAAAATTAAGAAAATGAAATCCAAAAAAGAACGAATATATCAACTTTGAAGAGAAAAATGCCTTGGTGTGATTGGTGTGCAGGAGACTGGACTGAGCTTCTTCAGCACAGTTGGCCTTGCAGTGATGTCAGGTCATTCGCAGCTAGGTTTTGTGGAAACCTCTCTAGATTTGTCAGTGACTGGCACAAGTGTGCAGAACAATACATTAGTAGTGTGCAACAGGCCAATATGTTTTCGGGAGACCCAAGTATCCTGTGACCTCCTTTTTCCCTTACTCCTGAAGGTACAATGTCCCAGCAGGACTTCAAAGGTCCTCGTGCTGCTGGTGTGACAGCAGCCTTCTTGGGAAATGGTTTTTCCACAGATACCCTACTTGCCAGCCTTGAACTCTATTGTGGGATGAACCGGGAAGACATGCCATCTACCGCTAGTCTGTGATAACTTTCTAAATTTGTTATATGGGATATTTCTTTTTATGCTTAATGTAGATTTGCATGTTTTCCAAATACTATTTGCTTCTGCTTACTGAACTCTAGGATAGTTTGGGGGCTTCCAGTGCCAGAAGTGTGTTTCAGTTTCAGAGAAAAACAAAAGTGCCAGGTTTGAGCAATTTGTAAGGACTACAAATGATGATTTAATCCTTCTTCAAAAGTGTATGCAGTTCTGTTTCTGTTCTGCTGCCAAGACAAGTTACTGAAGCCGGCATCCTTTCTACAAGTGAGCACGATGAGACCTTTACTATGTTCTGCTTTGAAAACGTTTGTTTTGTTTCAAGATTATAAGACAGGCCAGCAGGGGGCAGTCAGCAGACACAATTTCTGTCCATACATGTTCAAAACACCAGCTTTGGAAAGCACCACGCTTTCCAAAAGGCATTGACACACAGAAAGTGCAGACATGTAAAAGAGTCCAATATGCAGCTGTGGATTGTCAGACACAAAAATGAGTGCACAGGGGACAGGTGTGTAAAGCATAGTTTATTCCTTGAAATGAAATGCCCTAACTCTCAATGCAGATAATTTAGTTCCAAACATCTCAGACCTCTGAGTACATTGAAGGAAAGCCCACAATAGAAGATATAATTATCCCAAATGCATGAACACTCACCTGCCATTTTCTTCTCATTTGCTTGTACTGCCCTTTTCTAGATTTCTCAAAACGTCAGGACTTGAAAATGTTAAATATACAGTATCACTTCAAAGGTAAATGCTAAATTCAGCCCCCTTTCACAGACAGCAAAAAGTGGTAATAGAAAATGGGATTATTGCATCACCCAATGTAACAAAAGAATGTTTTGTTTTACTAATCTAAGATTGTAGAAATTGTTCCGAGTGACCCTAGTTTTCAGACTGTCACTGGTTACATGTTTTGTTTCCTCTTATGCATTTATTTGCAGCAGTTTTGTATATTCTGTGTTCTCTGACTGGCAGTGACGAGTGGTGAGATAAGAGAAACTACTGCCATTGGTTAGAAGAAAATACAGATATGCAAATTCAGATACTGTAGTATATAATGACTTGCTTGGGCACTGTATTTCTCTAAGCACATTGGCCGTTAGTAAAGAGCACTGAGTCTTGTTTCTGTGGTTGATTGTTTTCCTGCCAAATATAAAGCCTCATGTTTCCTCATTCTGAATATGATACAATATTTGCTCCTATATACAGCCCTTAAATTTACACACCAACTTAGAATAGCAAGATAATATGAGTGTTTCACTGTAGGAAGGTGGTATGTCATTAATCATCAATTCTTTATTCTTTAAACTCCAAACACTTGGGACAATGTCAGGAAGCAGTCAAATTAGTTTGGTGTGTTCAGCCTGGTCACAAAACAAGCCAGATATGAAACCTTATATCATAAAATCAAGTCACGTTTCACAATTAAATGAGTTGTTCAAGGACAGACTAATGATATGGGATATACAGTGCCTTCAGAGATTCACCCCCTTGGATTTTTTCAGTTATGTTGCAAAGTCAGATGCAAATTTAATTCAGCACCTTTTGTAGACAGTAAACATATATCCTGAGTGGGATTTTGTGTCACTGATCTACACAAATTACCCTACAGCGTCAAAGTACAATGCAAATGCTGGATTTGTTTTTAGATGTAGTTTACAAAAATTCTGTGAAATGTCTTGATTCGATAAATATTCACCTCCTTGCTGCGACAATCCAAACTGAGCCCAGGTGCAATTTCTCTTTTAATTTCCTCTAGAGATCACTCTAAAGTTTGACCGGAGTCCGTCTGTAGTCAGTTAAATTGGCTGATATGGTTTCATCAGAAATACACCTGTCTATATAAGATACGTCAGTTGACTGTGCACGTCAGAGTAAAAACACTGCCGTGAAGACCAAGGAGCAGTCTGTACAACACCGTGATGAGGATTTATCTGCAGAGATCTGGGGAGGAGTATAAAAGCATATCTAGGATATTGAAAGCTCTAAGGAGCACCACCTATTCTTTCATAACACAGGAAAATAAAACAGTAACACTCAGACTCTTGCTAGATTAGGCCGTCCTCCCAGACTGAGCCACTGGGAAGAAGGACCTTGGTCAGAGAAGTGATCAAGAACACAATGACCACCCTGACAGAACTGCGGAGATCCATGGCTGAGATGGAAGAGACGGTCCCGAGGACAACAATCTCTGTAGCACCACACAGTGGGAGAGTTGCTAGACAGAGGCCACTCCCGAGAAAAACACACATAATAGCATGCTTTTGCAAAAAGGCATGTGGCATAAGATTCTCAAATCTAATTAAGCCAATATTGAGCTCTACTCCCTGAATGCAAAGAGCTATGCATGGCATAACCTGAACACCACCCCTACCATGAAGCACAGGGGTGGCAGCATCATAATATGGAGAGGCATTTCAGTGGTTGGGATTGGGGCACTTGTGAGGATAGAGGGTACAGTAAATGAAGCCAGTTACAGGCAAATATTTGAGACAAACCTGCTTCAGTCAGCAAATGACCTTAAACCTGTGGCAAAGATCTCAACCGGGAAATGACCCCAAGCATAAAGCCAATGCTAAACTGCAGTGTCTTCAGATGAAGAAGGTGAATGTCCTTGAGTGGCCCAGCCAAAGCAAAAACATTTCACTGTATTAAAAACTCTGGTTATAACACAACAATATTTGCAATTGTTCAAGTGTTGGGTGGGTGGGAGTACTTTCTGGACACTGTAATAGTGTGTGTGGGTATTTAGAGACTGAAACTACCATGTAACTGCCCAGAAAGTGCAGTTCAGCTAAGGCAGAACAGTATCAGAAGCCTTTTACAACAGACAAATAGTAACATTTCATGATTATGCTTTTAAAATACTATGCCCGGCTCGGTGGTACAAGGCATCTTCATAATTGTTCAATAAAATTCAAGTTGTCGTACTCAGTGGTGGTTAAAGTGAAAAAGCAGTACTGTTCTGTTAACATCACTGCCCTCACGTCCTCATTCCGTCCCGTTTTTTTAAATCTCCATTCACTTCACCAACTGTTATGTTGTTGGTGACCTTGAAAAGGGGGGACTTAAAGAGAGGCATGGCACCAATTGAGCCAGAGAGGGAGCCAAAACGTTTCTGAAGAGACTGCAGGTTATAATAAATCCTTGGGCTCTTCTCTGAACCTCCTTTCGGTCTTGCATGCATCGTATTCTCTGCCCTTGCTGCGTGCGCACAGCGACGTTCTCTGTCAGAGGTGACGTCATAAAGAGATTCTCCTCGGGGCGGCTGCAGGAGAGAGTATTGCAAATAAAACTGAGCAAATTACAAGAGGGTACTGCACTTTAACGGGATCTTTATTGTAATAAAAAGTGCGTTTACATGGTCGCGCAGCAGATACATGAATACCTCAGGACATTTTCCAAGCACAGCTGAAAGCAGACGTGAAGGACTCTCCTAACTCTGAAAAAAAGCGGGTGTTGTAAATGCTCATCATCTGGTGCTCAAGTGTTGAAGAATCCATATCTAAACTGGTCAGCACGCATTTAAAGAATTCCATTTAAATACTCGGGATGTGGTCGGGCGGCATAACGGCAAGGTGTCTTCCTGGCTTGACGAATAACACCCTGGATATGAAAGAAACTACATGTGACTGGCTTTAGACATCCATCTTTTTTAGATCAGCTGGCGTTTGCACTGGGTCTGAAGAGTGTGAGTAGGATTTAAAATGTTAATAGCTCCTTGCACCGTGAGAGATTTGATCCACAGGGTCGGGGCACTTTGTATGCACAAGGCAAACGAGCCCTTCGTTACATTCATTGAGAAAGGGAACTCTGCTCCGTGCGGAGAGGCTTCAGAAAAGACATACGAGGGAAATCGTGAAAAAGATTAATCCACTCTCTAACGTTATTTTAATAGGATCGTACCACGATATGACTGTACGAGGTGTGTAAGAGACCTACCAACAAAACACGCCTGCGATTTAAGATCTTTTTAATCAGATCGATTGATACTGTGAATCAGTTATAAATACAACGAAGAGCAGTGGGCACAATTGACTCGAATCCAAGTTAATGAGGTTACTCACGTTGTGTAACCCATGGACGTTTATTGTTAGATATATTGCTGTTTATTTTACAGAAACCCGTTTCAGTCTCGTCACTTCCCTGTTAGCAGCACCATGACTAGACTGAGCGCGGTCTCCGCTGCGTCTTAGCTCCGAAGCCGGAGAGACGGCTGTGCCCGTGACCTCCCCGCAGCCGCTAATGCAAGCCTAGAAAGAGACGCGATCGTACCCCTCGGCCTTCCGCAGCTCATGATCCTGAAGGCGCCTGTTGCAAAGGCTGCATCGTGAGGTAAATTAGGTGTAACATGAAACATTCGCGTAGCCGTGAACGTCTGGTATTTGTCCACGAGGGTGACATGCTAAATTCCTTAATGTTGCATTCAGGGTGTAACTGGGTTTCTGTTTCTACTGCTCAGGCAACTTCTAACTTCCAGTAGCATTTGCAAGACCACCAGTTTGTGAGATCATAATGGTACATTAAAAATGGAAACTACTACAGTTGTTATGCTTATTTGCAAATCAGTTATTTAAATGGAAATGGAAGCTTTTTCGTTAATATGTGATTAAATAAATACTTTCTTGGGAATCTTTGTGCAAACTCAGCTAGGCTCTGAAGCTCTGTAGAGAAGTGCGGCGGTCTCCGTTTTATCCTAAACGCAGACTTAAAACTCGCCCCAGTTTTAATGACACGTCTTGTTTGCTCATTGAATGCGCTCGTGGAATTTGTACTGCCCTACGGCTGCTGGTCATATTAATTTGGTTTTATTCGCACTACAGGCAGAACTACAGCTGGGAGGGGAAGAGAATGGCCCTAACCTTTGAAGAAGCCCGCAGGCTGGGCTGGATTCTGCTAAAGGCTATCATCCGGTTCGCCTTCATGATCATCAATAATCTCGTTGCCATTCCTTCCTATGTTTTATACTTAATAGCACTGCAACCCTTGAGGTTGATGGACAGTCACACTTTTTGGACTATTGAAGGAGTCATGTTTAAATGGCTTTTAGCAATGGTGTCGTCTTGGGGCTGGGTGGCAGGATACACAGGTAAGAGGACGCTCTGCATCACTGTGGCTGATACAGTGACTGCTTTTTGGAATTGTTGACTATCTTTTGAATCAGATGTATAGTGGAATGTTTTTTGAGTATTGCTACTTGCTATTTGGCTTACAAATTAGAGTGTTTGTCATTATTAGATTTAATCTTTACTTGCCTTGCAGTTACATTTCTCAACCTGTTATTTCTGAATTCCATGTCATTCCATGTCTGAAATCACAATTTTGTATTGTCTCACTCTGAGGGTAAGGCAGTACCTTAAGGTCCTCAAACCCGTATTTCACTCCTGTCTCAGAATTACCTGCCAGCTTCCGCTCACAAACGTGGGATCACATTGCTGTCCAGGTAATTACATAAGACTGTAAATTATCTCCTTTATTGTCTCAAATACAGACACTGTGCAATCATGACCTTAGTATTAATAGAGTAGCCCACCTATATGTTGCTGTGCCTTGTTTTAGTTTTTTACCTGTCTCCTGCATGTGAGTGTTCTAAGAATTTGGGTCAAGTACAAATGTTCTGGTACTTTTCAGAGATCCCTCCTTGATTTTTATATTTTGTTCAGTGTACTGTATCCTCATATGCTTACATTGACACTTTTGTCTAGGCCTGCCAGTGTTTCTATAACTTCCTGTGCTTGTTTCACTTTCACGCTTCCACGCTGATTTAGTTTTACTGAACATTTATCACCTCATATCAAATCTGCTGTCTGGTCCTGGGCTTGTCTGGCCTGTGGATCCTTCTGTGTGAAGTTTGCATGTCCCTCCAGTGGTTGGTTGGAAAAACTTTTCTGGATGCTTTGGTTTCTTCCCACCTTCTAAGATGTGATGTCCAGGATTAGTTGGTCATTTGAAATTGTTCCTTTCCTTTGGATCCAGTGCTGGGCTGTGTGCCATCCAGGAAGGGAACAGATTTGTGCTCTGTCTAACCAGGTGCTTCTGAGATGTTGCTGTGACATGGAATCAGGGCTTAAGAGGCTTTCTAATGCTACATGGAGGATAAAAACAAATTACAACAAATTCTGTGTCCCACATTTTCTTTTACTTTTCATTTTGATACGTTCTGATTTGAATCGTCCCAGAGAAAGTGCATCTGCCTATAATTCACTTTCTCTAAGAGTTTCTTCCTGAAATTCGAGAAAGCTAACTGGGGGGAGGAAAACAGTAAGGAATTATTTTTTAGATGGTGCTTTTCTGTATTTGGAAATATCGTAAAAAAATATGATTTTTTAGCGCTAAGTGCTCTTCTTTGGGAGCTTGTGTGAGCAAAAGCATGGAGAATGCCGTTTTCAAGAACTATATAAACTGTGAAACATTTTTTTGCAGTCTGTGATATCGGACTTCTGTAGACTTATCCCTGCATCTCCAGGGACTGATTCACAATTTCAGAAGACTTCAGCAAATGAGTCTTAACTTTTTTAATGTTTGTCTGTTTTGGTTACAGTGGACTAAAATGTCTATAAATGAAATTTCACATGACATGTCTATTGTTTTAGGGACAATACTACTGCAATGATTCCATACCATATGAATCATGTATTCAGTGAATGCTCAACAACTGCAGTATTTAAATATGAAATATACAGTAGTATTTCTGAGTTTGGATAAAATAATTCATACATCTGGATTAAAATGATCAAAGTCTGGGAACACGTCTCAAAGTCATCTCAAAGTAGCAGAAGTAAATGGCTTATTCTGAAAACCCGATGTACCATCAAAGACTCAGTGCTGAAAGAAATATATCCTGTTGAAGTTCTTTAATGACCGACTTTGTGTTAAGGACATAAGAGCGCATTGCATCTGCTAGCCAATCTTCCTCTCGTTTGATACAGCTTTTTCAACAAAAATGAACAAGTCATCCATGCGAACGTACTCGGAACGTCCCATGTAGTCAGAACTGTTTTCCAATTTTTTAAAGTGTTTAAAAGTTAAACGGAGAGGCATATACAGTATACGTGAAAATCCAAATGGGCTTTACGTTTAAAATAAATGTATATTGTATGTAGTTTTCTATCAATTCATAATACACATTTTATCAGAAAGATTTGTTACGATATAGTACATTACCGTTCTGATTATTAAATGCCTGGATGAAAACGTGGTTTACCGAAGTCCAGCATTCTGTGTTTTATTTTCACCGGAATTATGTTCCTTTATCTTTTTGTACTAGGGCAAACTGCAAAAGACTTATGTAGAGTGTAAAGGAAATAAGTGTTATTGTCAGCTTTATGTTTTTAATAGTAAAGTCTAAGCGCTGAAAACACGTCGTGATGAAAATGCTTACTCCCCTTTGTTCGTTTAACGGGACAGAACAAAAAACTGCTCAAGTTAATAGTTTGGCGGCTGTGCTCCTTATTATATTTTATATCAGGTACAGCCTGCAAAGAGGAATTTCATATACCTAAATCGGGGTGGTTTGTGATTTTTGACTGCTTGTTTGGCTCACGGTGTGAATGTTGAATGGCGGTTATAACGACACGTGCTCAGAGCGCATCGTGGAATGTGGAACTTGCTGTTCAAATGCTAGCTGGTGACCTGCACGTGCGGGGACTGGATAATCCCATACAGTTTCATATTGCGGAGATGGGTAATGCTACAGACATTGTAGAAGGAGTCGGTAACCAATTTATCAAATTAATACATTTAATGGGAACTGATTTTATATTAATATAGAGGTAGTTTGATGTGTCTGGCTTGACTTATAGCTACAGTATGTGCCATATACCTGATTGCTGACCGTAGAAAATTAAAAGCCAACACATTTCGTTAACAAATGCGCCCATGCGTCACACCGTGTCCTCCTTTTATTTTTATCTACATGCAGCATTTTTGCTGACAAGCGTGTGTTCCCACTTTCAGATTCTTTGCTATTCATTGCACTTTTCTCCAACCGTTGACTACCAGTACGTACTCTGGGATTTGCAAGATTTCTTTAAAACTTTTTCTGCCCTTTCTTAACATGTACAATGTGTTGGAGGCTTTTTTTTTGCATTTTCAAAACGCTCATGGAATATGTTCAGTTTTACTTACAATAAGTTATCTATCGTGCCTTGTACCTGAAGGTCAGTTTTTTCTTACAGCATGGACAATTCTAAAATGCTTTTCTTATTTGGTCTGAATAATAATGGACAGGATCTTATTTTATGCTTTTTAACACATTTTTAGCAGACACGATTACCAGAGGTTCGTCTGTTACGCTCTTTCTGACTTAACAGGTTCCATTTGAAATGCATTTGTGTTTACATGCCTGTTTTTTAAAAATAATTTTGATATTGTGTCGGCTGTAATTACATTTTGTTTGCTGTTATTGCTTCAGACATCCTTTGTGGCCTGACTGAAGTGGCATTTAACGCAACACAATTCTCGAAGTTGAGAGAGGATTTTTCTGACATATTCATAGTAAATGTGCCTAAAGATGACAACTTCCTGTGCCCCGTATGAGATATGTTTCTGCATACCCTGCATGCAGTATCTGTCTTTTTTCTAATCAGAAAGATTTGTCAGAAAGAAATAAATTTCTAATATTGCATGAGATATACTAGAAACCCACTAGTAAATTTTGTGCGCATATATGTCAACATTAAGAGCCATGACTTGATGACGGTTTTCGTGGCCTTAGGCAACATAGCTAGAAACTAAAAAAAAAATCAACAAAAGGCTGTTTAATCCATTTTCCTTTTTTGTTGATGTTCCCTTATTTATTTTTTACCCCTATGTTTCAGTGTAAATTGACTTTTTTTCATTGAAACACATCAAAATGAACAGCAATATAAAATGCTGTAGGTCTTGTTTGCGTCTTGCCTGGTGAAGATCTTACCCTCACACAGCTATGGGAAGCAATATATGTGGAGCGACAGTTAGGTGTCATTCCTCCACCAACTTGTGTTTTTTTCTCATGCAGGATATCATTGTGTTGGTATGGTGGGATTAGAGCATAACGTACTATATGGTTATTGCTCTGCCTTTTTTGTGATTTTTATAACACCTCTCTTTAAGATGCATGAAGCACGTCTGGCCTCTTCAGTAGATCCTAATGTAGAAAAACATATTCATTGCCTTCTGATAGGATTCTTTTCTAGAAAGATTTGTTATAAGTAAATAAAATCTTACTATATTTTGCCTTACCAGAGCGATTGTTTCTTTATATTCTGACCAGCAAAAATACATGTGAAAAAATGCATGTATATTATTAGTAATGTTTAGTAAGGGATAGTTTCGGTGTCGGCTATAAACATTTATTTGAGGGATTGATGAGGCAAAGTGATGAGCAACTGTGATGTGTAGAGGAGCTCTCCTTTTTAAATTTAGCAGTTTTAGTTTTTCTAGTTGGAAAAGACAATCTTTAAAAAGGTGGGTTTAAATTCACACAATTGTAAGTAAACACAAAGACCAGTTAATGCTTCATAGTAAAAGTATTCACAGTTTCTGAATACAAGTTTCATTCCACAAAATCTCTGTTTCTAGACCACATGTGAACTTAAGGGTTTTATCAATTTAATTTTTTTAACATTACTGTAGCAGTGTTTTGATGCAACAGTAGTGACTGTCCTTGAAAATTAACTTTGAATTGTACAGTTTAAGGCATCCCCAGTTAATTTTGGTTCCTAAGTGGGAGCATAGGTCTCCTAGAGGGAGAGTAAATTGATTCTCTTTATAAATCAGTATTGGCAGTTTTGAAATAACAGTGTAATAAATATGGCTGCTTCACCAGTTTAAAGTTCAGACCACCCCAGCGTTTCATTTAAATTGTGTATTTTTGTGTAATTGTGTAATGCTGTATGCCATCAAAAAACACAGAATCCAAGGATATTGATGCATCTCTTTGCCTAATTGTTATACACAATAGACAAATATTTTTGTTTTATTTGTTTTTTATTTAGCTGACAGGTTAGTTCATTGCTTTTTTTAAACGTGATCGTAGTTGTATGTGGAGACTTTCAAAACAAATTGGGCAGTTTCATTAAAAAAAAAGTAATTGGTTATTCTAAATTA